CCGTGGGCTGCTTCAGCCCAGCGCCCTCCCACTCGCGGCGGGCCCCGAACAACGGGGGTGGAAAACAGCGGCCGGCAGTCGGGGGGTCACCGCCTGGGAGGGTGTAAAGGAGAAAAGACATTGCTAAGAGAACGGTAAGGTCCGAACCACAGGAAATTCCCAAACTGAACATCGCATTTGATCGCTTGACGGAAATCAGAAGTAAATGTTTTCTGTCCCCTCTGTAGCCCAGACCAGATACAGGTTGCCAATGCAAAGCATTCACTGGAGAGGAGAATTACAGATCGATACAGGAAAATATCTGGAGCATTACTGCTTTTCAGAGAGTGAATAATCCGTCCGCTGCTCCAAAAATAAGCAGGCATGTCATGTTTGCTGTGGAAAGGAACACCAGGGGAGGAGAAGCAGCTTGACAGGACAGAGACCCGTGGTGAGGACAACCCAGCCCCTTCGTAGCCTCTGGGCTGGACTCGCCCTCACAGCGCGGGCAGGAGGCGCTGACCCTGTCCAAGTCAACTCTGCACTCCGGCTGCTCCGAACACAGAGCCTAGCACTTCAAAATAATTCTATTACTTTTTTAAATAACACAACCGTTTTCTGTATACTGTAAGAGTAGTAATTTTATGTACCTTGAAATGTTTATATAAAATGTCTAAAAAAATCCAGGAATATTTATCCATAAATTTTACCCAAAAGTACTTAAAATATTAACAAAAGCGATTCTCTTTACATCAATATTTTTAAAGCAAGGAACTATTCCATAATTTAGAAAACCAGGGGTTACTCATAATTGCTGCAAGTAAAACAAGAAATGCCAATGACAGGCCTTTAGCAAGACACTGGGAATACGGTTCTCCTGGAGAAAAAAAAAGAAAAGAAAGAAAAGTATAAGCATATGAGAGCTAAATTTTAGTTCAGTCGACCACCCAAAAAATACAGATTAAAGTATATGCATAGCCTGAATAAAATAAGGGAGCACAAAGCAAGGGATTAAGATGCTTCATACTTCTAAAACTTCATACTTTGTATAACTTCAGTCCCTGAAGTTGTGCAGATAATAAACACAGGCAGTTGCCCCTGTCCATGCAGCTCGGAACAGAGTCCAAGTGCCTTGATGCCCTTTGAAATGCCAGACATTTAATCTGCAGAGTCTCCCACAAAACATAATCCACCACGGTTTTACACAGAGGAAATTTAAAAATTAACTGTCTTAGAAATATGGCAAATTTTTACTGGAACTCATGGGGGCTGACTGAAAAACACGTACTGGCAAAGCGAGAAACAGCATCTCCCTCCACCCTTCAAGGGCGATGGCACACACTGATGATGCTACAATTACAGTAGGAAGTGGAAAGTAAATGGTATCACAAAGTGATATATTCTCCTCCCTTCAAACTCTCCAGGGGAGAGAAATAGAGATAGCTCTCTGCCAAACAGATATTCACAACATTTCAATCTCATCTACAAAGTACTCCTAATTATTTTTTCCACTCGTCTAACTAAAAAATGAATGCATTATATCAAGGAAAAAATTAAACAGACTTTTTGGACCATGTTTTCTAAAAAAGACATTTTAATTCCCTACTGCAAAGCACTCTTTTAGACTAAACTCCACACATCTAATTATGTTTCAAGAAATATGGCCAGTTCACAGCATTCCACAAGCCTTATTATTTTTACCTGTGTAAAAACGCGTCAATGGATAAAAAAGTTGTGGCCAGCACACATCATTTCGATTGCAGTCGAATTCTGTGTAATTAATCTGAAATCTGAAGAAAAAAAAAAAACGGAACAGATTTATTAACTACACAGTACCAGAACACCAGCACAAGTGGAAAAAATTGAGTGAAAAATTGTCCAGATTACAGAAAAAAAACAAAACTAAACCACAAGCTTCTCCTTATTCTCTTCTGACTTTTTTCTCTAATGGAAACAGGAGCCTCCCCTCTACTCTGTTTCTGTCATTTTTAGTCAGATGTTTCTTTTTGTGATGAACATTTTCATGGAATCATAGAATGTTTTGGCTTGGAAGGGACCCCTAGAGGTCATCTAGTCCAACCCCCCTGCAGGGAGCAGGGACACTGCTAACCAGATCAGGTTGCTCACAGCCCCATCCAACCTGGTCTTGAATGTTTCCAGGGATGGGGCCTCCACTACCTCTCTGGACAACCCCTTCCAGTGTTTCACTACCCTCATTGTAAAGAATTTCTTCCTTATATCCAATGTAAACCTACCCTGGTTTAGTTTAAAACCATTACCCCTTGTCCTGTCACAGCTGTCCCTACTAAAAAGATTTTCCCCATCTTTCCTATAGGCCCCCTTTAGGTACTGAAAGGCCGCAATAAGGTCTCATTGTTTCAGACAATGGATAGTTTGGAAGCCTCACACAGCACCCCTTATCCACTCAAGTAAACACCACAAGCTTTTATGCTAAAACCAAATTACAACTTCGAAGGGTAGTTTACAGCCTTTCATGTTCTTCATGCTCCTGGAGAAGACTGTCGCTAAGAGAATTGTTACTCAATAAATCTTTGAACCAGGCCTTATTGCTCTGTACTCCACCAAACCCAAGTAACCTTTTGATCAAAACTATTCATATTACATCTGCTCAACATAATGTGAAGTATCAATGTTTTTACAAAAATTACCTTGTAATTGGAATGAGTGGCTGAGCTGGCACTTTAATAAACTGAACAGAAGCCGTGATGGGAAGAAAGCTGGTGCTGTTTTCACAGATAAGCCCGCACTGGAATTGCCATATGACTGTTGAGTAACTGTAAGAATATGCATAACTATTACTTGAGGGCTGTAAATGGAAATTTAGAGCCTAAACATAGCCATGAAAGGACAAAATACACAGTATTTAGGAGGCGGTTGATGATCTCTGGATTTTCAACACCATGCAGGGAGAGAACTTGCAAAGTCTGGAAATGAGGTGAAGTGGAACAGAATCCCATTTACTTGATTGGGATTGACTTGGAAAAAAAAAGTGTTTGCAGAGTGAAAATTCCCTGTTTCAGGAAAGAATAAAGCATTTACCACAGCTCTCAAGAACAGCTCTACATTGAGGTAAGCCAGAATGCAGGACAAAACTGTTGTCACTTCCACCACGTGACAAGAAATTAAAATGTTCTTCTGGTGGAATGCCCTACATATAACTACTACTGGCAGCATCACAGATTTTATTTAATATTTCAGTGAAGTAGAAAGATTACCTACTGTTAGCCATGACTTTTTTTTTTACTATTACATTCATTTCAGAAGGAGAAAGGTAAACCTGGTTATGATCAAAGGAATTTGGGCTGCAAATACATATAAAAAGCATGTAAAAATTAGAAATAACAAAATAACATTTTTGTTTGTAAAATGTAATCTGCGTATGTTACGTAAGCAAGTCTCAAAATGAAACATTTGTTTGTCAGATAGCCAGAGTCACAAAACTCTCTACCTGATATGCACAGCAAGAATCTCTTGCTGAGGAATCCCTTGTACTGCACCCACATCAGCAAAGATTATGCGAATATTCAGATTTGCAGGAATATTTGGACAAATGCCTTTTAAGGTTCCACTGCTCACATTGGTATCAGAATTAAATGGATCAAGACCTATAGAGGAGAACAGAGTTATTTAAGTCACAGAATCATAAAATAGTTTGGGTTGGAAGGGACCTCCAAAGGTCACCTAGCCCAACCCCCCGGCAATAAGCAGGGACATCGTCAACTACATCAGGTTGCTCAGAGCCCCGTCCAGTGAAATACAGGTAACTGCCACACAGAAACACAGAAAAACATGTTTTCTCCATATAAAATACACAGAAAGAAAAGGAGTTCTTTATCAACGGAGAATTAAAATAACAAACCATATGTGTACAGGCTGAGAGTAAAATACATGTTAGTGCAGTATCCGTACACATACTGAGTTACAGGCATGTGTGTATACATATATGGATGGATCCAGATCAGTATCTCTAGGCATTTGAAATTACATTTTGGTTTTGAGATGCTCTGTTCATTGTATGGGCATATTTAGACTATAAACAACAACTCAAACCTCACTTACGTATAATTTCCACCCAGTCATTTAGATCACTGTAACTTGAATTGTCCCTCTTTCCAACGTGAGTAGCTTGTATTAGTGAATTCAATTTCTCAGTTACATTTTCTCTGCAAAATAAGAACATAAGATTACACAAATAGTAAATCTGTACTGTCTACAACTCTGGGTTGTAATACTATTATATCCTACGATCAGTTTCCTCTGAAAGATGTTACCACTCAAGAAAACCAAACTTGAACTATTGAACAATCTGTTGAAGGGAAGACATGGCAAGGCTTTCCACCCCAACATAATCGTTATTTGAACACATGGACATCTGATTGAAACCACTATTATAATTTCCCTTTAAAAAAAAAAAAACCCTGAGACTATGATCCACAGAAAGCTAAAATGCATACTTGAGCATTTAAAAAGAATGTAACAGTGCTGAGAGTAGGCATTTGTGGATAATCATGTAATAAGCAATAAGAGGGATGGAGGGAAAAACATTTCAACTTATGTAACTCACCTTAAAAGGCTGCAATCTTCATCAATACCAACTTCTAGAATGCACCCAGAGAATGAATCTAATCCAAATAGAACTGGTGTATAAGTTGCCGACGTACATAAACCTCTGCCAGCTATGAAATGAAAACATCTTACTTGAGCCTTCTTATATGAGCTTTTCGATCTCTAGCTTTCAACTTTGTGCAAAAATATCAAACATTAGAATGCAAAACACCAAGTAGTATAGTTCACATATAGATATAACTCCATTCAACTTAAGTTTCCCAAGAAAGCATTAGAGGCTTACTCACTGATGCTTGAATAAAGGCTAGGGAATAGTCTAGAAAAGCAAAATTTGGAAGAGATTCTTAACTAAAATATGTTTTTAAAAAAAAAAAAAAAAAAAAAGCGCATTTTAGCCTTAACTACTGTTGAAGTTGCAACCTCACAAGCCAGTACCTGGCTGCCAAATGTTTAAGCTTCCAAAAGTATCAGACGCATTCATATTTGCAGCTTTCACTGGTTTTCCAACTTGATAACCTAGACATAGAAGGGTAAATCGTGAACACTGAGTAAGAATCTTTAAGCATTAGCATTGTTTTAATAATAAATGCCATCAATCTTGAAGTAAATGAACAGACGTTTCCATTACAGTAGGAATACGCTCACATTAAATAATCAATATCTATACAACAAAAGCCTAAGAACCAATCACCGCTGTTACAATTGGCAGTGCAAGAAGACAGGAAGCAACAAAAGGAAGTATGAAAGATATAAAATATAGTCACTGAATAGTCCGCACAGTATGATTTTTTTTCTTTTAAGAGGCAAAATAAAGTATCGATACCTGGATTCTCAAACAGTTCTGCTGTATTAGTACTCTTTAAACTTAGAAACTTGGCTGTGAATCTCTGTGTCAATATTTCTGGTAAAAGAAAAAAATATGACTTTACTTTTAAATAAGTAAATTAGCAAAAAGTGTGCTGTAAATTAGCAAAAAGTATGCTCTATGTAGGATACAAACTTCCATCCTTCATTAGTAACAGATTCAAAATACAAATTAATGGAAATAAGCCCCATAAATATTCTTTCCAGAGTCCAGGGGAAATTCTTTTTAAGAAGTATTAGTAAATAAGAGATTTTATCACAGAATTTCCATGCTGAAGAAAAAAATAAATCAAAAATCATAAAAGAAATTCCATGATACCTCCATCACATAAACTTCCAAGGAAGACTGTGACATTTATTCGCTCTATGTTCCTGTCTTTCGAAATGAACGTGTAATGCTCTGCAAATGTTACATTTTGACACAGAACCTCAGCAGTATGAAGGCTTTCTGGCGGAAGAAAAAAGAAGGCCATAATGAAAAGCATTGCTAATTACAAAGCTGTGTCAGTGTAGCTGAAAAAGAACACATTAAAAAACTCTAGCAAAATTCTGGAAATAACAACATTTGTCTTTTAGAGAATTTATTTTACTGTGTAAGTCCCATCTTATTACAATAGTGTGACAGCACAATCCCCTAGTTTAAGCAGTATTTTAACACCAGCAGTCCCAGGTCCTTTTGTAGCTAAACCTCTCCTGCAGAACCCAGCACTGGCCTTTACATCACCAGCTGATGCACTTCTCTGGACTCAGGACTCCCTCTACTTTCATCTCACCCCTCCCAGGGAGCCATCACCGCCCAGAAAAACACATTAGCTTAGATTCCATTAGTTCATCTGTGCTGCATTACTCTCCCACTGACTGGGAACCACTGTTCTACATCAAATAACTGCTTCATTGGCTGAAAAAGGCCCTTAAGAAGGCACGAGAGCTTACAAAACAGAGAGCGTACATCTGCTTACAGTCTGCCCATCCCACTTACATGCTCATCCTGGAGATTTTTTTTAAAGCATTCTTTATGGCTTTGTTTGGTTTTGGTTTTTTTCTCAAAAATTACTTTTAGTGTAAGCTAAGGGACCAGATTTCTTAACCAACTTTAAATGAAGTTGGGGTAAATTAAATACTTTCTGCTTTGCAGTAAGCCAAACAGCTTACTTTTTGAGCATTAGATAACATACAAGATCCCTCCTAAGAATTGCAGCAGGTAAACGTTTTAGACATCAAAATCATCTGTTTCCTATATAGTCCAGGTTAGGCAAGAAACATATTTATCAAATGAAAGAGACATACCACTTTCAGTGATGAATTTGCCCATGTCAGTGATGGTTCTATAGATGACATTTTGTTGGATTAAGTCTGAAAATAAAAAACACTGCAATAAAATAAGACAGACATACTGTTTTCACATTCAGGGTGCAATCCTTGTTATGAAAATGGAATAGAAAATTTAGAAAAGTAATTTTGGTAAAGGATCGAACAGTTTATGTATTTTGAAAGCATAGCTAGTTATCTCTAGGTCTTACAAACGTAATACAGATGATCAAAATTAGACAATTACATAGTGTAAAATAAATTATCTTCACACTGGTAATCATATTATCTCAAACTCCAGGACACTGCTTTTGTAACACAGAAAGTAACCACTTCAATTCTAAAATGATGATACTGCACCCTCTTGACAGAAAAAGGGCTCTGCAACAGTCTGAAAATAGAAAGTGGGAGAGATGCTCTGTTCTGTCACATGTAGCCATAACCGGTATGAGTCATCAGAAATGTAAATGAAAAACAAAGGCCAATCCCACTATTTCTTATATCCCAAATCTTGGGAAACAGTGGGCACTTGCTGGGAACAGAACATCCCCAAATGCTGAACTACAGCCACCAGATAACAAAGATACTACTTGTAGCTACCAGGTCAACAGCCCCTTGGTTCTGTTCTAGCAGCTCTGAGAAACATACAGCACATTTCTGTTGGGTTTTGTGCAGCATACCTCCAGTACCACTGTTTATCCTCACGTCATGGGGCAGTCCTTCCTTGTAAGATGCTAGATTGGTAAGGCATTTGACATCGAAGTTCTGGAGATACGCTACAGGGGCATTTCCAACACACTGTCCAGCCATGGATTGCTGCAGGTAGTTCAGCAGAAATAAGTGTGTTGGACCCTTTTCTAGCCACTTGCTTTTCATTTTAAGACTATTTTTTAGTGAAATGTTCCAAGTGTGTACTACAGCCATATGACACTTTGACAAATAAGTAATCTCATGTTATCAAAATACTTCAATCTGTAGCAAGAGAGAGATTAAAATTTAAAAAGCACAGCTTTCAAAATAGTTTCAGTGTACAGTATGGCTTCATCCTGATTTGTCAAAATAATTATAAAAGGCAAAAGGAATTCAACAGAAGTACAACCAGATGACTAAGATTCAAAGGGAAAAACAACTATAATGCTCAGTAATGCAGCAGGCAAACCAAAACCTACAGAAATATGTTAAGTCATAAACTATTAACTGGGATGCCAAGCTTGCTTTTACCTCTTGAAATAACTAAAATATTACCATTAAGGGCGGATGGGAAGGGGGATCAGAAAGGATAATGTTTACTTTTAATAATGATTTTGTGCTGCTTTTTGGTTTTTTTGTGAAAAATATATTTGACTGCTTCACAATACTAATTTGCAGAATCTGGTTACAAAGCCATAAGGAGTGTGATATATGGAGAATATCAAACAAACCAAGAGGAACCAAAAGTTCCTAAACACAAAGTGTTTACCTGAGGAATGGTAAAATACTCATTTTCTTCTGTCATAATTGGATCTCCTTGTCCGTAACCAGTGAAAAGTTTCCCAGGAGAAGTTTGTAAAGGGATCTTAAATGGAGGAATTCTGGGTGTAGAACTGCAAACAAGTTTAAAAGTTAAACAATTCTTTGCTCTCTACCTCACACAAATAATTACATATTTGCTTTCATGTCGCATGTCCTCATATGGTACCAATGACACTTCTCCATTTGCACTTAAAGTTCACACCCCGAATTTCCAACTTCAAAATAACTTTCATTATAAAAACAGGTTATATTTTTGGTAGCATGCCTAATGTGTGCATTGAGAAAAGAAATATTAAGACTTACATAGAGCCATGATAAAAGTAGCCGAGAAACGGTGTATTATTAAGAGAAGACTGTACACAAAGGAAGGGAAACCAGTCAGGAGTATATTCTGAGAAGGAGTATATTGACTGAGAAGAGCACAGCTGATCAAAAGGTGGGTTTACATCCCCCCCAAACACTCCAGTGAAACATGATTCCATGAATAACTGCTTCAAGTCTGGTGTACATTCCTGAAAGGGAAAAGAATGGTCACTTTTTAGCACAGTAATTGCATTACCATAAGCACTGTAGCCACAGTGAGCAACCTGATCTAGTTGAAGTCCCTGCTCATTGCAGCGGGGGTTGGATTGATGACCTTTAAAGGTCCCTTGCAACCCAAACTATCTATCATTCTGTGATTGTATACTTACAGGTAAATCAAACCAATTTTGTAGAGAGAGGTCATATTTACTATTTAGAAATAACTGGAAAATCCAGTTATTATCCAGATAAGCCCTCTAGCCCCATCTAGTCTGAAGCATTCAGTACCTCTCTCTCCCCTCACACAATAGAAAGAGCCTAGAAATTTTGAAACACTTAATCAAAGTTTAATATGAAATAAATACCGGATCACAGCAACAACGAACATCACAAGCTCCAGCTGTCAAGTCACAAGGACAAGAGCCCAACGGCTGAAACACCTGATTTGGGATGATAGTTGCATTTTCTGTAAAAGAATTAAAAAAAAAAAAAAAATCAAATTAAATGGACCATGCACATGACAATATATTCTGAGTGTGTACACACCTTTTGTTAAGTTCCATTAATGATTATACAGTATCTCTTACTGCTGCCCAAATCGCAATTTTTATTTTTTCATATGTAGAGGGAAAGAACAGCCAAAATTCCATTTCTTCTTTAGTATATCTAAACACTTACCTGACACATTTCCCGTAAAGGAAGAGTTGGCATATATTTCAGCTTGAATCAGGAGATGTGCCAACATCGCTGAATCACGGCAAGCTAAAACCTGAAGTGTTTCAACCACGCAGAGAGGTGTTGTGCAGCAGTCAGTGACATTGGGCAAACACAGCTGCAGATTTCTAGTCAAGCTTATAGTCACTTTGGAAATACTCTGAAAAAATGCAAAATAAAGTTTGACAGCTTTGATGGCTTGTTTTAAATTAGTCTTATTTACACCACTCATCACCTTCTAAAAGAGAAGTTTCAGTACTACTGTGTTTTGTCAGCGATACAATGCAATGATATTCTTCCTATATGAAATCAGACATTTGTTGAGAGTGGAGTGACAAAGGGCCTGCTATTGAGATACACAAATACAGTGAGGATATGAACTGTATGCAGAAATTTTTAAGGCACGCACGCAGATTAAGTTACCTCAGAAATCACATGCACAATTCTAAGGAGGAGAACAAATACCAAGAAGTGAATTGCAGTTTTTACAGCTACCTTCAGCTGAAAACTGGAATGACTGCAGAGTTGATAAACCCCCTAAGGAAACAAGTATAACATAACACTGAAGGCAAGTCCAATAAATATAGATGTTCCAGAGCTCATGTTGTATAAAACCATTACTTTTTTATTTCTATTAGTTCCTTCCAGCATATCTGAAACAGGCTCAAATGCTACACCCAGTCAGGAAGTACAGGCAATTCTGGAAAGGAGGAGGACAACAAGGAACCCACGTCAAACCTGCACCTCAGCAAACTCCAGCAAGGGCATCCACACAAAGGGATACATCAAGGAAAAAAGGCAAGGGGAAGACATTCAAACTGGGTTGTTAGTACATTAACATTTTGCTAGTATTTCTTTAGCCCTTAATATACGACAGTTCAATTCTTCCCATTTTAGCGAAAAATCAGTATTTTACATACCATACCAGGTGTTACACTCAAATTCCAATCACCAGCTCTTTTACTTCCACTGCAATCTGCAAGCTGCAATTTTCCTATATCAAAATAAAAATTTAAAAAGTATTCCACTGTCATTTAGAAAAGACTGGAAAATCAGAAGTATATTTAAACTCCTCCTGTGCCTTCAAGTAGGCACACCCTCAGGCCCAGCTGACAAGGAGCCAACAGAGGACTAAGGGCTTAATCAGCAGAAGTCCTTTAGAGTTGCTATTTCAGTAACTATTAAAGCACTAAATGAAGTGCATTGCCATTTCTCCAGTAATTTTAATGTCAACAAAGTATTAATAACTGAAACATATTGATTTACATACTATTGGGGAGGGAAGTGAAGTGTTCTTACCTGTCTCTTCACCTATAGGACTTAAAATTATGGAAAAATTAACTCCTGAAGAATCTCCAAGAAAAAATGAATTGACTCTGGGCCCTGACATATGGATAAATGAAGGCTGAAAGACTAAAAAGAGAGAAAAAAAAAAGTCTTAACACACACTAAGTGAAAAAAGTAACACCTGTAAGACATATGTAGGTCTTACACTTGGCCTAGATTCTTACCTTCCTATACTTTAAATTGTCACAAATAGAACAAAAATACCGTGATGCCTAGTACAGGATTCTACTTCCATTCTTGCAAAGTGCTAGAGCAGTGGGTTCACCATAGCTTTCTATACCACAAGTTTACGTTTGTCAAGATGCTCAGTAAACACACAGTAGAGCAACATCGTGGCAGGAGACCACAGCACTTACTGGCCCATGCAGATACTACACACGTCAGGCAATAACATATTTAGCATTTCTTGCTGATTTCAGTTTACACCTTTTAATTTCTTGTGGCCATGAAGGGTATCAGGGTGTACCCCTACCTGTGATCCAGTGGACGCAGTTTCAAGTTTAGGGCTCCAAGTTGGGAGTTTCACTAGAATTCACTTTACAGACTTTACCAACGTTGAAAAGTCCAACAGAAGCAGCTCCACATTTCCCCCACCGAATCTCCCCCAGTGCTAAGCAGTAGCAGGACCCTCCAGGGCCAGCACCTTCGGTTTGAGGCACCAAAGACCCACGACCTGCTAGCCCTAGGGTCCTCCCGTTATCCCCCGGGGCTTCCATGGCCTCCCCTCATGCCTGCCCGGGCAAGCCC